ATGCAGACTGCAACCAGTTATATAGTTTTTTTTTCCCTACCAAAGGAATTCCAATACAGAAAAATACCATCCTTAGTGGCCAATAGCTTGGTCAAGCCTAGCTGTCTCATCACAGTTACAGAGTTGAGTTCTTCCCCTCAAAATTTTCCATATTACTTGGCAAATAAAAATTGCTTGAATTTAGAATAAACTGCTTACTTCTGTAGAAATGGAACACTGTCTTGAGGGAGCAATGAATTAGTCTTCCGAATTTCAGCCAGTATTGCTCACTGAAGTTAAAGAGGTACTGAAGTAGCTTTGTGCTACAACCTGTAAGCTGGACCCATGACCTGCCGGGCTGGTGAAGGTCAGTAGGGAAAATGGTTGGTTCCTCCTTGATTAAGACTATCAACATTTCCCTATGGAAGGGCAGAGTGCAAGTAGCTCTTACAGCTACTGTGAAGCCAGTGCTCAAGAAGCCAATTTTGATGCTAACAATCTATATAGTCTTCATTTTGGGGAAGTTCATGAAAAGGTTGTGGTGGAAAAATTAATGTGGGTGGGGCTTTTTGTTTGTTTTGATTTTTGCAGTCCTCTGGTTTCCTTGATCCCAGTTTATAGGTTTACAGGACTGGATATGAGATTGCACCAGTTATACTAGTGGATGATCTCCAAGTAACGGAAAAAGAGAGAATTTGTGCTGATTTTAGATTGGTCAACAGCTTTGATATTGTTCCTTTGCTTGTGAACTATAGCAGTTGGTGGAAGGAGTCACTCTTAGCTTTCTGAAAAAAACAAGCCATTGGCTGTAGATTCCTTTGCCCAAAGGATTCTTTCCTGCAGGATACCACAGGGGTTTAGTGGTACCACCATTATTTCTGTTTGAAGATGTGGATACGGTTAGTGAGGAGACTTAGAGCTTGTCTACACTACCTACCGGATCAATGGGCAGCGATCGATCCAGCAGGGGTCGATTTATGGCGTCTAGTATAGATGCCATAAATCGACCACTGAGTGCTCTCCCATCGACTCCAGTACTCCACCAGAACGAGAAGCGCAAGCGGAGTCGACGGAAGAGCATTAGCTGTCGACTTACTGCAGTGAAGACACCGCAGTAAGTAGATTTAAGTACGTCGACTTCAGCTACACTATTCACATAGCTGAAGTTGCGTATCTTAGATTGACCTTGCATGATAGTGTAGACAAGTCCATAGGCTGCAGTGTATTCAGCATGACAACTCTCATCTCCATCATGTCTGATCTGATAAAACAATGGAATAAGTTACCCAGTGGCTACATTAACTATGGGTTTCGATGAGAACTAGCTGGTTACAAATTAATTCAGACAGGAAAGTTATAATGTTGTTGGCCTGGTGAAAACAGTTAAAACTTACAATGGCACCTGTACCGGAGGGAGAGTAACAGAGGTGTGCAACCTGATTGCTTTATTACATCTTGGAACACCAAATGATGGTTGTGATCATGTGCACTTTCCCCTTCATCAGCGCCTATGGAAAAGAGTGCCCTTTTCCCTCTGATGTGAGCCTTGATAAAGCTAGCCATACCTTTGTCATCTCAGAATAATACATAGGGTCACACCTTGGGACCATTCAAAATGTGAAGCTAATGGAGACTATCATGGCCCTCTTAAATGAAGTTGCATATTGAGAGCACATTACACTACTGCTCCTGGATATATACTAGCTTCCAATAAACTTCTGGGAGGGATTCCAGGAGTTGGCTTACCCTATAAAGCAATAAATGTTTTGGGACTTCATTACCTGAGAGGCTGCCTCTCTTTTGAGCTGGAACCACCTTGATATGAAAGGGGAGTGGCTAACAAGGGTCTGAAGGGTACTCAGTTTTGGAATTTGTTTCCCATACTTCTGGTCATACAGGGCTGAGCCAAGATTTGTAACCTTCTTGACATGCTGCAAAGCCCAAATCTTTCTGCTCAGTCTTTTTACAAAGGGGTGGGCTGAGGGTTGAAAGGATTTGGTGGAGATAAATGTATATAATATGGAACATTTTTAAGTTTACAAACAGGCACCGAGGGCAAAGAATGAGTGCCTTGAGATTTTTTTTGTTTAATAAATATGAAAAAAATTCCATCTGTTTCCTCACCTATTTTTAAATAAGAATTAAAAAAAAAAATTCACAGCATCATCCTCCATTATCTTGTTCACAGGTTGGTTGGTTGTTTTTTGGGAGAACAGGATAATCAGCTACACAGACTGTTAAACCTTAATCTATTTTATCTATTTTCCACCCATAACCACTAAATTAAGAATGTTTTTCCTGAAGCAACCATTGTATTTGTTTACACTATGGTGGTGATGTAGGAAAATTCTAAAATACATAACTACGAATGAGAAAATAGGTGAGGTAATATATTTTATTGGACCAACTTCTGTTGGTGAAAGAGACAAGCTTTTGACTTTACAGTGTCTTTTACAATATGTGTTAACTACCTATGCTAAACAATACATTCCACCTTTTATTTAGCTGCGAGAGCCTGAGTGCCTTTCCTAGACCTGAAGAAAAGTTCTGTGTAAGCTGATAAACTTGTCTCCTTTACCAACAAAAGTTCATCCAATAAAAGATATTACCTCACCAACCCTGCCTCTCTAATATCCTGGGACCAACACAGCTACAACAGTACTGCAGATAACTATGAATGGCAGTGGACAGTTAATACACAATCTGTCAAACTAAGAATTAACTCTTGTCTCCCTTCTTTAAATGAAGTGGTTTATTTCTTGTGGAAAATATAAAAACAGTAAAATAAGTTTCCAACTTATTGTTTCCACAAACAAACTTTATTTTAGGTGAACCACAAAGCACTGAAGTATTTAGCCAGCCTTATTCCAGTAATATGTAGTCAGAAGTTTTCCATCAAGTCATACAGCAATCAAGTTACTGTTCCAGAGAATCAACAGTATAAGTTGTCTTGTTGTTCCTCCATCATTACACAGAAAAATAAGGTAGTTTCATTCTTATAAATCATGGCAACCACTAATGGGACACACATCTTGCCTTAGGTACTATTGTAAATAACTTTTTCATTTAGGGTTATACAAGATAAACAGTTAAAACTGATTTTAGTGGAAATGTGATTAACTAAATACATCATAACTACATGTAGGTTTATTAAAACTACTTAAATCTCTTTCAAACAGCCTGAAATGATTTACTGGTAAGGGCATAGGGGGAGGGGAAGAAGATTATACTTTTAAGGGCATATTTTAAAATTAGGCTATTGAAGCAAATTAGAGCAACTCCTTCTGTTCCATTTACTAGTCATGAAATAGAAAGCAACTTATTCATCTTTCAAATTACAATGATGTAATAGAATAGACCCCTTAAAAAAAAAAAAACTTACACACACCACCACACACACACAAACAACAGTTCCAAATACTATTCTCCCTTTACAAAATGGACAAGTCGAAAAGACCAGGAGGTCTGGGCAACATTTATTCAACAGTAACTCAGAAAAAACACCGAGTACAGATGCTTTTCAGGGAAAAACCTTTGCTACCATAAATAGGCCATTGTTGAGATCTAGGAGTATTCGCAAAAACTCAACATCAAAGGGATTTCACTTTTAATAAAGTGTTGCATACAGTATTTTATAACAAAAAATAGTTTTAAGCTAAGCATGGCACTTAGGTAATATGACATTTGTCATTCTAAAGAGACAACTCCTAGTGGCTTCCACAAAAGGAAAAAGAAAAATACAAATATTGGGGGAGGGTGAGGGGGGTTGGGTGATAATGCTAGCCTGCACCTAGTGAGTACTTGATAGGTCAAAAACATCATAATTCCTCTCCTCCCCATGTATGTTTTTGTTATATATGGTGCAGGAAGATGTCAAAATAAATGCTGGAATATCAATTTTGGGGAAAGAAGGGGGAAGAATAAAACAGAGCCCAATCAACAAACAGCTCAACCTCCTAAACAAGGTACTTACAGGATGGCACATGAGAGGTGAAGGAGTAAAGAGGAACAAAGTATTACAGTTTTTGTTCTTTCTATCAGTGAGAAAAAGAATTTGTACATTTTAGAGCTACAAACTATGCCATGAGTGTCCTTTTAAGATGAGTAAAATTATCAAGTGAAAATAAACTGAATTTTGTGATTTAGAATACTATATTGCAGATGAAGAGGCAATACTTGTGTAGCTGAAATAAATACCATATTTGAGGGCTGCCATCCTGAGAGGTTTCATAGATTAATAGATTCTAATCACAACTTTCAATTCCCATTAGCCTCAATGAAATAAAGAGTGCCCAATATTAAGGGCATGTCTACACTGCAAAGAATGTTCTCAACCCAGTTTAGCTAACCTGAGTTAGTTAATTCAGGGTTAAAATAGCAGTGAAGACACAGTGGCTATGTCTACACTGCAAAAAAACAAACAAAAAACTGTGGCAGCAAGTCTCAAAGCTCGCATCAACTGACTCAGGCTCACAGGATTCACACTACGGGGCTAAAAATAGCAGTGTAGACGTTCCCACTCAGGCTAGAGCTTGCGCTATGAAACCATGTGAATGGGGCAGATCTCAGACCCCAAGATCTAGCCTAAGCAGGAATGTCTGCAGTGCTATTTTCAGCCCCACAAGCCCAAGTCAGTTGACATAGGCTCTGAAACTCACTGCCACGTGGTGTTTTGCTTGTTTGTTTTTGCAGTGTAGGCATACCCAGTAACTCAGCTTTTACCTTGGGTTAGCAGTTCAATCCTGGGCTCCCATACTCGAGCTGCTAATATGAGTTAAAAGCCAACTTGCCATGTCTTCACTGCTATTTTAACTCAAGTTAGCTAACTCGGGTTTGCTAACCCAAGTTAAGAACACTTTTTTTTGCGCGCGCGCAGTGTAGACATGCCTTTAGGATTCCAAAATTCCCCTAGAGTTAGACAAAGCCTCTAGGCGAATCTTTTCTCTTAGTCAGATTACTTAAGACTAAAAGTTATAATAAAACAACAATACAAAAAAATACACATAGAAAAGAGAACTTACTGTTTTATTCCGTAATCTAATTATGTCCGAGACAGAGCCAGCTCCACAATACTCCATAACAATCCATAGATCTGTGTTCTTAAAGTAGCTGCCATAGTACTTGACAACATAGGGACTAAATATAAACACAAAATAGTTGAGATTCATATATTAATAATCATCAACAATGAAAAAATATCCAGGGTCAGTTCTAATAAGATGAGAATTGGGGAGTCACTAGGACAGCCAAAGATTGCGTGGTGCATTTGAGTGAATTTTAGGTCATGGTGGGATTACCTTAATCAAGGCTTCAAAAAGGCCTGGTTAAACTTCCAGAAGTTTGGTTGTTTAACCAAAATGAAGGAGGCACATGTAGAATGACCTACAATACTCCCACACCCCTCAAATAAATACAAAGACCTCCCCAATCACCAGTTGCTTTCTGATGAAGGGGAAGCACCTTCTTCACTCCCCTTTTCCTTGGGAAAAGCCTATTCCCCTTTTCACTATCTTCAGGAGCCTTCTTCTTTTTCTCTCTTTCCAGTGTTGAGTGGACAGCGTAGCAATCATTCTAAATTTCCCCTTTTTTTCCACACAACCTGCAGGAGTCTATTTCAAAAACAAACCCGAATAGCTACCTGAATATTGTTCAGTCTAACGTTTTGCTATAGAAATATTTATGGAACTCTAAGTGCATTTTCCATATTAAGTTTTAACGGAAGACTGTTATTTATATAGTGCCATAAATTGTGCATGTTGTATTTCCATTCATCAACATATCAAATAAAGGACATAAATCCTCCCCTGAGCTCAGGGGCCAAAGGCACAAGGGACTCCGGTAGAATATAAACAAGTGCCTCCAATTAGAAAGGGAAGCAGTCCTTGTAACTGGAATGCTTAATGAATTAGGGGTGTAATGTTGCACCCCATAATGCTTTATAGAAATATGCTTATGAGTGTAAATATGACATAACTGAAATATGTTTTATGCTAGATATGCCATGTAATATATCTTTGCAAAGGTTATAATCTAGGAATATGAAATATAAGTCTGAGGTCCTATTGTAATTATGCAAAGTGTGGGCCATTAATGGTGGCTTGGAACCTTGATGGCTCCCATTAACCAGGATACTTGGTTGTAATGGGTCTGTTTACTTGCAAGTCTTCCTGTATACCTGTGTGCTGGCAAGTGGGTAATGAAGTCTTACAGTGACATGTGATCATGTCACCTGAACTGGAATCCATCTTCAACCTGGTGCTTTTCCATTTAGAAGGAGGGATGGGAACCCAGAGAGGGACAAAGGATTCCCACCTTGTGCAAAAGATATATAAGGGGGTGGAACAGAATAAAAGAAGTGGCAGTCATGAAAAATCCCCTAGCTACCACCTGAACTGGAACAAGGATTATACCGGGGAAAGGTTTGGGCCCAGACTAGAAGGAGGCTAGTCTGTCAAAGACGCTTATTGGAACATCTCTGAGGGTGAGATTTACCTGCATTGTTTCCTACTGTATTAGGCTTAGACTTGCATGTTTTATTTTATTTTATTTTGTTTAGTAATTTACTTTGCTCTGTCTGTTATTACTTGGAACTACTTAAATCCTACTTTTTGTATTTAATAAAATCACTTTTTACTTATTACATACTCTGGTTTTATTAATAATACCTGCGGGGGGAGGAGGGGCGCAAACAGTTGTGCATATCTCTCTATCAGTGTTACAGAGGGCGAACAATTTATGAGTTAAACGGGTTTATTTGGGGTTTGGATCCCATTGGGAGCTGGGTATCTGAGTGTTGGAGATAGGAGCATTTCTTAAGCAGTTTTCAGTTACGCCTGCAGCTTGTGGGGGACGTGGTACAGACTTGGATCTGTGTTTGCAGCAGGCAAGCGTGTCTGGCTCAGACAAGGCAAGGTACTGAAGTCCCAAGCTGGCAGGGAAAATGGGCTCAGAGGTAGTCCCAGCATATCAGGTGGCAGTCCCAAGGGGGTTTCTGTGACCCGTCACAAGGGGTTTTCAGGAACTTCTTAAAGAGAAGAGGCAAAACCATCATATACTAACTAGAGGACTGTTTTCAGACTGGCAACAGCCACTTCTTGTAGTTTGGCAGTAAGATACTTATTCAGTCTTCTGACACTGGCCTCCTGTCACTGTAGCCTGAGTCCCACATAGAGTTTTCTTTTTGTTTTATTTAAGCAAATTTAAGACCCTCTTCTCCTTCCCTAGATCACAGAGTTTCTGTAGCTTCCTCTGTTAATATGTTCTACTGCTTACTCAAATCCAGTACAAAAGCAACAGCTGTGATGGAATAGCTGAGATACTGCAGGTATTGGAGCATAAGCTTTCGTGGGTGAATGCCCACTTCATCAGACGCAAGTAATGGAAATTTCCAGAGGCAGGTATAAATCAGTATGGAGATAACGAGGTTAGTTCAATCAGGGAGGGTGAGGTGCTCTACTAGCAGTTGAGGTATGAACACCAAGGGAGGAGAAACTGCTTCTGTAGTTGGATAGCCATTCACAGTCTTTGTTTAATTCTGATCTGATGGTGTCAAATTTGCAAATGAACTGGAGCTCAGCAGTTTCTCTTTGGAGTCTGGTCCTGAAGTTTTTTTGCTGTAAGATGGCTACCTTTACATCTGCTATTGTGTGGCCAGGGAGGTTGAAGTGTTCTCCTACAGGTTTTTGTATATTGCCATTCCTGATATCTGACTTGTGTCCATTTATCCTCTTGCGTAGTGACTGTCCAGTTTGGCCAATGTACATAGCAGAGGGACATTGCTGT